TCTCCTCCCCATGACCCTTCTGTAAGGGGATGTCCAGTTACCTACAGATGGGCTTTGGGTCCCCACTCGGTACTCTCCCTCATTCACAATGATATGATTTTTCGTTCTTTGATGCCTGATACCTGATCCCATCAACACCTCGTGATCACACAGGCTGGTGTGCTTCTTTCATGTGGGGTTTGTTGCTTCTCAGCTAGATGGCTGCTTGTTTACCTTCAACCCTTTAAGACTCCAGATGCTATATCTTTTTTTCCCCTTCCAGATGCTATATCTTTTGATAGTCGAACACCATCAGCTTTCTTCACCACATTTGCTTATGCACCCACTTTGTTTTCAGGGATCGTGTCAGGAAGGTGAGCATCATGGAATGTAGGGCTTCTCTTAAAACAAGCTGGTGGCTGTGAAAATCAGGTCCGTATGGCTGGGACCCCTACCCATTTACCAGTGGAATGTACTGTGGTGGCGGCCTGCATTTTGCTGTGGTTCAGAAAAGCTATGCCGTTTGTATGTCAAGTACCAGTTAGTTTGAAGCAGCCCTAGTGGTGCAGTGGTTATGCGTTGGGCTGTGATCCAAAAGATCAGCAGTTCAAAACCACCAGCTGTTCTATGGGAGAAAGATGGTGCTTTCTACTCCTACAAAGAGATACAGTTTTGGAAACTCTGAGGGGGCAGTTCTGCCTAGTGCAACAGGGGTGCTATGAGTTGGCATCGACTCAATGGTTTTGGATTTTTGGTTTTCCAGACTAAGACTGACTAGGGAGAAAGGCCAGGTGATCTGCTTCTGAGAATTTGCTATTGAAAACCCTGTGGATGGCAAAGGAATATTGTCCGACTCCCTTATTTTAAGCAAGGAGGAGAGATCAGTCACTGGAGGATGACGTCATGAGGTTACCTGAGTCTGGGTTGATTTTGTAACAGCAAACAACTGCTGAGGAAAAGCCACTTGCTGGGCCCACCTTGACCTCGCTCTCTAGGACTGAGAGGCTGGAGGTGCTCATGCACTCCCCCGACCACCCGACTTCCACCGTTGTTCCCAGGGGCTCATAACGGTCAATCTCAAGAGACTTCCATGTTCGGATGTGTGTATACTTATTAATGCTCCCTGGGGAGCATTCCTGTGAGCGAATATGACTTCTTCATAGGGGCCCTCTCTCTTCTAGACCTTTGCCATCCTGTAGCAGGTGCTCTTAAGAATGGTTAGTGATTGGGCAGTTGCCACACCTGGAAACAAGCAGCCATCAATCCCAGGCTGTATGTTGGAATTCCACTGGCTCAGGTGCTTCCTTGCAGGAGGATGCATCCCTGGGGGGTGGGAGAAAAGTGCAGCCACAGCCAATGCCCCCTTTTTGCCTCCACTCCCAGTGGGTTTCCACTGAGTCCACTCCTGCTCATGGCGACCCCTATGGGTCAGAGTAGCACGCTGATCCAGAGAAGGGGAAGTAGATCACCAGGCCTTTCTTCCGAGGCACCCATGGGTATACTTGAACTTCTGGTCAGCATCCGAGTGCGTTGAGGGTTGTTGGCACCATTTACAGCTTCCTTCTTTCTCCAGGAGGTCTGGTCTCCTGGGCAAGGATCCCTACTACCGTCAGGGAGGAGCTGGGGTTGCTATGGTCGTAGAAAAAGCTTAGGAGCAAGGAAAGTTTGCCCTGGGTTCAGGCAAAGACAGTCAGAGGCCCGGGACGTTTCTGCCCTCTCCTAAGGGAAAGGGAGGAAGCGGGTCAGAAGCAGCCTGGTACAATCCACATTCCTGGGGTCGCCGTGCCCTGAAAGGCCCACCTAGGACGGGGGCCCTGCAGCAGCTGTGTTGACGCTGCTGCTGCAAGTGAAGGGTCACGACCAGAGGTTTGTTTGCAAACCTGCATAAACATCTTCTATCCGGGCCAGAGTTTATGCTCCCGAAGCAAACACGTTGTTGGAGATGAAATGCGGTCTCCTGGGATTTGTGAAGTTGGCGCCAAGCAACAACCCGCAACGAGCTGGGATGGGTTTGAAGGGAGGCCTCAGGGAATCTCGGCGTGTCTCCCCCTCTACGTCTTTCCATGAAGGAAAAACATACCCCGCCCAAAGACACCCCCCACCCCCACCCCCCATTCCCCTCCCTTTCCCTGCTGGGGGCGGAAGGATAAACGCTGTGCTCCTAGTGCGCCCTGCGCACGGGCAAAAGGGGGTGCGGGTGGGTGGGAGGCAGCGGGCTGAAAAAGGGGTCTGCCCTGCTGGGGCACAAGACCCTGGTACTCAGTCGCTCAGAAGGCCTCCTCTAAGCCACCTTCTAGCGACTCTGCCACACATCCCGGCCCCATCTCTCCGGCACTTGTCCGTCTCCAGAGTCTGGCCACCCCTCCACCCCCCCCCGGACCTCCTGTCACTGCCCAACAGTCATCCTCCAACCCCCAGTGGCGCCGAGGGACAGAAAAGAGTCGCCCCTCTGGGTTTCCGGGACTGGAAGTCTCTGTGGCAGCAGCGGAGCCTCGTCTTTCTCCTGCCGTGCGACTGTGGGCGTGAAATAAGGATGTAGTGGTCAGCAGCTCCGTGCGTCTAGACCACCGTCACAGCGGGCCCCCTGCAAACACGCCAGATCATGGGCTCTTCCCCTGGAAGAGCCTTCCTTCTCACCAGCGAAACGGCAGTCCTTCAAAGGCTGCTCTTCCAGAAGGTTCCCGTCTCCGCTGTTTTCCCTCTGTTCCTCTGGCCACCCTGCAGGTCCTGAACAGGTAGGCAGAGCACGGCCTTAGGAATTCTACCCTTGTCGTCCCTCTGCCTGGAAGCTCTTCCCTACCTGCTGGGCTCACTGACTTTTTGTGCTGAAAAGCCATTTTCATAACCACTTAATCCTACTGCAAGAGATTCCCGCCATCCCTGGGCCACGCAAGCCCCTTCATCCTGCCCCCAAGTGTTCTTTCGGTAACAGCTCCCCTTAATTCGATTCCGGTTCGTGGCCGTGTCGCGTGTGCAAAGTGGACCTGCGCCACGGGCAGTCATGGCTGTCACCTTCCCAAAGCGTTTCTTCCCAGGCGTTCCTTCAAGGTGCTGTGGGTGGTTAGAACGGACCGGCCTCACTTTCCCTCCGGTAGCACCACCCGGGGAATTCTTAACGCCTCCTCCACCCACAGCGCATAATTCAGATCCTGGGCCGTTGGTTGTTTTTTCTTCTGTGTCGCTCCCCTTTAGAATGCAAGCTCCACGAGGGCCAGGCTCTTCAGTAGTCCAATGCACTGCTATGTTCCCCCCAAAACACCACCAAACTCACTGCGGCTGAGCCAACTCCAATTCATCTGGGCCCTACAGGACACAGGAGAGCGGCCCTGGTGAGTGTCCCAGACTGTACTTGTCATCAGAGTACCAAGCCTCGTCTTTCTCAGGTGGCCGGGCGTTTCAGCAGCCCAGCACAGACCCACTACAGCACGAGATCTCCTGGGTTCCAGCACCTAGAAGAGAGTCTGGACTATATGAGGGGGTTAAAAAAATTTCCATGTTCTTTTAATTCCATTTTTTTCCACCAACTTTTTGAAGCCCCCTTACAGTAGAGGCTCAGTAACCATTGAATGAATGACTGTGAAAAGGCACCCTAGCCAGGGCTCCCAAAGGGCTGAGCGAGGGGTCAAGGACACAGGGCTGGCAGGAAGTCACCTGGGCAAAGGGGCTGGGCTAGAAGTGTGATTCCAGCATCTTAGTATCCAACGGGGTGATGGTGCCCAGGGTGAACTAGCCATTGCTCCTGAGAGACTGGGAAGCATGTGTTTGTGGTGGTGAGGGTGGCATCCCTCCAGGAAGGACCGACTAGCTGGGCCCTGTGTCTCTGGATGGTTTATTTTACATGGGATGAGTCGGAGCATCTCAAGTGTACACATCAAGCCAAAGAAACAAATGCCATAGCGGTGCACTTCCTGATAACGCTTTATAAGAACGCAGAACAATCATACAGAGCCAACGCCTTCCAAATGGAAACCCTTTACACACTTCATTCTTTAGCATCAATACACACAAATGCTGTTAGGAGGGGAAGGGGGGAGGGATGGGTTACAGCCTCCATAGGGATCCAAGTTTTAACAGTGTAATTTATAAATTATGTCACATCCATTTCTTATTTACTGATACTTACTGACCGAGGCAGCCAGAGGATGGAAGGGTCCACCATGTGGAGTAAACACATTTGTACAGGGAGAAGGAATGCTGGCAAGGAGACATGGCTATTTAACCATTAAAAATGTATAAAGTATTTAGCAAAAGTTATGGAAAACAGACCAAACAAGCAAAGTTTACTTTGTTAGAAAATTCCACTTTAATAGAGTTTGCTGATGTGCTTGTGTTTGTGTTTGGTCTTGTGACCACCATCTCCTTCGGGAGGGAAGAGATGCAGACGGGAGCCCCTTTGTCCCCAAGAATGGTTGCTGTTCCTCCTGTGTGTCCTTTGATTTGTACAGCTATGGGGAGGCCTGTCTCCAAGGCCCTGCCGCTGTCAGCAGAACCTGCAGGGGAGGGTTGACCTGTGATTGAGGCAGCCACAGAGATCCAGGGAAGGACAGGACTTAACTTCAGGTGCGTGTTTCAAATGAGGCAGCTGAGCAGGGCCAGGAGGTGGCCTTCACACTTCCAGGCCAGGGCACTTCCTATGGGGCTGTGTGCTTTTCTTCTCTGTCCATGTCCCACCCATGGACCAGGACCTCGGACACCTCTGTCTCGACCTTGATACAAAATGTTGATGGCCTTGATCCCCGACACACAAAGATGAGGAGTCCAGGGACAATCACACCCTTAGCCCAAACCCACTTGATGAAGCGGTTCCCCCAGCTTCTAGAGGGACAGGAGGACACAGCATGGACCTGTCTTCCCTATTTGCTCCCCCCACCTCCCCCAAATACGCTGCAACAAAGGGCTGGGCCCATCCCCTTCAGGAATCCGACAGCAACAAGACTCTTTTGAATGCAGAGGGCTCTGCCTGGCCAGTCTCCAACCAGGAGGGGCCCTACCGCATCGAGGCTTCGTGTCCCACCTTGAGACCCTGTGGACTCTGATCTCCTGGCCATGATCTCTACCAGGCCTGGGTTCAAGAGTGTCTTGAGCTCATGTGGCGAGGGCCTTGGTTGACTTCCCGGGCTCACTTTCCTCTAGGCAGCTCACCATGAAGACATGGCTTGGGGTGTGGTCAGGTGAGGAATAAGCCCCTAGCCCAGCATCATCTGGCTTTATCAGAGCCTGGTTGTATCTCTGCCACCAACCACGGTGGCCCGGAGCAGGCGAGGGCATTAGTCTAGCAGTGACAAGAAGTGCGATCTTCAAGCCTGAGGGGTGCGTGTCTGAGATCCTTGGGCTTGGGAGACCACGACTTTCAATCTGGGGTTCCAAGAAGGAACTAACTCAGAACAGCATCTGGGATTCCCTCCCTCCATCTGGGCACCCCTACCCCAGGGATGGATTTTATGGCGCTCTGGGCACATGGTGAACAGCCCTGGTGTCACTGCAGGAGAAACACTGAGCTGCTCACCCACCAGGGCAGTGGTTCAAACCCACCACCGGCTGCTCTGCAGACACAAGATGAGGCAATCGATCCCTGGAAACACTAACAGCCCCAGAAATCCCATACAGACTTTGAGTTGGAATCGAACAGATTGACAGTGGGTTTGGGGTACGCACACTGTGCAAGGTAGAGAGAGGAGCAGACGGGACCTAGATTTGGTGTCGCATATATAGGCTGCATCACTGAAGGGGACAAGGCAGAGCAGGTAGCTGGAGGCAGCCTGACAAGCCCTTTAGAACCCATGCTTTTGTGGGGTGAAGTAACAGCAATCCGAAAAAAGTCACAAGCAGTACAGAGGCCAGGCAACTGCCACCTGCCTCACAGACCCAGATACAAGGTCAAGGCTGGTGCTGGTTGGAGTGAGCCCCACAGGAAGGTAAGGGGTTTGCTTGCTAAGATGCACATTTCAGGTTGCTGCAAGAGGTGGGAGAGGACCGAGTTCCCAGACCCATTTCCACGGCCTGTCAGCACCCTGCACTGTCAAGAACCTAAAATGGACCGAAGAGCAATCTGAGCCCAAGAGTGGTGGGTGGGCATAGCTGGCATTGGAGCGGGATTCCTGGAGGCAATCAGGGGGTAGCAGGTGGCAGGGGGTGGTGCAAACAAGCCGAAGACTCTGGGCCAGAACCGTCCACAGCATTCCTTCCAAACACATGGAAGCAGTGTGGCCTACCACGCAACGGACTGCTGCTCACCAACGTAAAGGAAGAATCGTCCGGGTGGTGTAGATGACGGCCGCATTCTCCTGCCAAGTGGAGGGTTGTTGGACTGAGTCTACCCAGAGGCGCTGCAGAAGAGAAGGCCTGTCTATCTGCTTCCCCAGTTACTGAAAACTCAAAAGGAGCACAGTTTGAGTTGGATACCCGGTGTCACACAGGTGGCAGTTGCCTCAATGCCAATGTTTTATGACAATTGAAGCGAGGTGTGCACAGGGGAGACTCAAGAGCCGTGAGCCGCGTGAAAACAGCGCGCCTTCATCAGTGTGATGCCGTGGCGCTGACATCCTCAAACCAACCAACCTCTACGGGGAGAGGAGGTCAGAAAACCATTTCATGACTGCTTGCCAGGGGCCCGGGCTGGGAGGAGTCTGGCCACAAATGGACACCCCGACATGGTTTGGAGGGACCAGAGGGGTCTCAAGACTGTCAACGTTCACAAGCATCTGCCTGGGCGGCACCAATGACTTAGCTCAAAGTGGTTGTTGGAACTCACCCAGTGCGCAGAAAAGGGGCCTGGCCAATTTGCTTCTGTAGTTACGGCCAAGACCCCATGGAGAAGTTATGCTGCCACCTACCAGGTGGCAGGAGTTAGAATGCACTCGGCGGTAATGGGATTTGGCTTGAATATGCTGCAGGTGGGTTTTAATGGACGGGTGACCTCAGCATACCTGGGGCGGGAGGTCAGTGGGCCTTGTGCAGACAGGGAGGCCTATGGGGCTGGGATGAGGGAAGGACGCTGCAGCTGCTGGTGTAACACTGAAGGGCTTTCTTGCCCCACACAGGGAATAGGCCTTGAGAATCCCATTCGGCTGCGAGGCAAAAGGCCAGCGGTTTGAAACCCCCAGCTGCTCTGCAGGAGAATGAGGCGGCTTTCTACTCTCACAGAAACCCACAGGGGCAACTCTCACCTGTCCTATATGTTCACTGTGAGTCAGCATCGACTTGATGGTGCTGTGGATCAAGGGCAAACACCGCTGGAAGTGAGCCCACCCAAATGAGCCCCGTCTGTGGCCGCCTCTGAGCTTTACCAGAAGGGCCTCTGACCCAGCCCAGCACTTGTATGCACCAGGCCATTGAGTATTCTGCACACTGGGAATAAAAGTGAACTGGCTAGTTGGTGAAATGCACATCGTTTCTTCTTGGTTCAGCTAAGAACCAGTCCCCGTGAATTTGACCTTGCTTCCCACTGCAGAAAGCCATCCATGGCGGCAGGAGGGAGGTTGGTCCCCAGGCAATGCCATTTTACAGGCCCTCAGGGCATGCCTGAGTCCTTCCAGCGGTGGGTCACCGTACTGGCAAGTTCCAATACTGACCGCCGCGCGCCCTTGAAACATCGGAGGGCAGCAGGTGGCTTCTCCGGCAGGTTGTTGTGGAAACTCACCTGGGCCAGCATTAGCTGTGGAGACCCCCACCCTCCTCCCCTTGAAGGTAGGGTCTCACAAAACTAAAGACAACCATGTCTCCCAGGTAGGAAGGAGCAGGCGGCAGCAGCTGGCCCGTTCCCAGGAAGAACCCTGACTCACCTACTTTTGAACAAACCCAGCAAACCACCCCTCCCTGAAGAATCCACGGAAGCACAGGAACCACCCCCACTAAGCTATTGTGTGTACTTCCCCCCCATGTGTGCTCAGAGCTTCTAGACTTCATGCCACGTTGGGTTTCCCTCCAGGAGAACGGTGGGCTTGGCCAGAGTTATGAATTCACTGCCATCTCACCTACTTGCATTTCACTACTCTTCTTTGCAAGTGGGGAGTGTAAGAAAAATTTTTTAAATGGAATTTTGCAATTGAGCTGCAGGGGGTGGGGGGCTCTGGTGCCGATGGGGAGGGCTATGGGGGTAAGATGAGAGCAAGCACCCCTTCAGCCACAGGGGTACAGGCCTCACGGCAGTGGGTTATATCTTAGCTTCCTAAAACTGTGGGTCATGACCCCCCCATGGAGCTGTGTCACTGAATGGGTGTGTGTGCGTGTGTGAAAAAATTGGTGACAATAAAGGTTTTGGAACAGGCAACCACCAGAAATGAATTCAGGTCACCTGCATCACGAACCTGAGGTGTTTCTGGCATCGCATGCCCATCTTGTGAGTAGAAACAGTTTCAGCAGCCCTGGCTTCTTTCATAGTGAGGGAGCCTAGTGGGGTGACAGGTACATTGGGTGCAGGGTTGTTCTTTTACATAAAGATCTAAGCAGGCAGTCCCCTTGTGCCCCGGAGAAGAGAGAGGCAGGGCAGCTGGTCTGACATGCACGCAATTATATTCTCAGTACTCCGCGCTGCCCCAAGTATCTGCTGAATAAGCAAGTGAGGGACTGGATGTACAGGCGCATTAGCATGATGGAGGGGGTCTCTGAGACCCTGGATTCTGCAGAGAGAACCTGAATCCCTGGAGCCACCCGATCCCTGGAGAGGCAGCTACACAAAGCAAGAGAACGCAAGCTTCCCTGAAGACAGGGCTGACTCTGTGCCCAGACCTCAGCACCCTGCAAAAGGGGTCCAAGAAGAGGCTACAGGTGCCAGAGGGAAAGGGCGGGGGAGACATCCCTGGGGAAGAGACTGGAGAGAGAAGCGTGAGTGCTCCCCATTCCTCCTCTTGACACATTGGGGAGCAGAAGCCTCAGAGGGGGGCGAGAAGCCAAGGTTAGACTATCTGGATCACTCCCAGAGCCGCTGGCTTTGGGTGGTGCGGGACCATCCACAAAGTCGTTCAGGACTAGTACCCACTTTGGAGGTGGGAAGTAAGAGAGACTTTTGCCCAAAGTGACAGCTGGTGACAAGGCCCAAACCTAGCTATGGCCTCCATCCTGTGGACCGCTCCCTCGGGTGACCTCCGTGTTGACCAACGCCTTCCCAAAGGCGGGGATGCTTTACTAAGGGAAGAGCAGAGCTTGGGGTTAACTTGAGTGTGCTAGACCCTTCTCCAATAGAAATGACGGGAGGGCAGCTCTGTTCTCAATGAATGAAAGACTTGATATAGATCATCAAGGAAACTCATATGGACTGAGAGCAATGCCACTGATTTGGGCCCTTGGGCATCTGCCCAGAGGGTTAGATGGCTGGCTGCCGTCTCTTTAATGGAGAAGATGGGAATGTTTGGATGAAGTGACTTTTCAGGACTTTGGGTCTGAACACCCATTATGTGACCTCATCAGGTGGCTTCACTTCTCTGGATTAATAGGGTGCAGACGTGTCTGCCAGGATTGTGACAGGGAAAGAATGGTGAGCAACAGTCTGAGGGCAGCACTGACCGCTTCCGATGCCACAGGCTTTTCTAGAAGCTGGAAGATGGCAGGGGGGTGGGGGACGGGGGTCAGCAACAGGTGTGAGAACCTGGGAGGTGCAGAAGGAAACCAGAGGGCAGGATGGCATCCACTGTCAGGCAGGTTACAGCCTCACGAACGCAGCCCACAGAGAATTGGCAATGTCGTATGGTGCCCACCATCTAACCCCCCCACCTCCTCATGGGAAACAGTGTTACCTAGCCCAGCCATGCCCAAGCAGTGCAAGCCATCTAGAAGCTGCTGAAGGCTCCTCTTGGCTCAACTCCCTCAAAATAGGGCCTTGTCCCATGATGAGCCCGGTGCGGGGCAGGAGCTGGGATGGCCATAGCCAAGCACCCTGGTTGCCACGCAGGCTCCAGCGGTCCTGCTGCAGTACTGGCCGCCGAGACTCCACTCGCTCCTCCTTTGGACCCTCCTCAGCCAGACCAGTTCGCCATCTACCCAGAGCTTCCTCTGCAGACACTGGACAGGGGTGGGGAAGGCAGCAGCCAACAGAGAGGGGTGGGGTGGGGTTTCGGGAGTCGTTGTCACCAGGAACGTCTGAGCGAGTGGAAAATGGAGAGGTGGGCTGATTTGCAGGATGAGGTAGGTCCATCTTGAATGCTCCAGGGCTCACCCATCAGGACAGGAGCCCAAACCTTCTCCCCAAGATTCCTGGTGGCAGCAGAGGAAAGCTAGGATGCGGGTTGGTCTCAGATGGGAAAGCACTACGATGCCAGGGGGTGGGGCACTGCAAAGGATTCTGGAGTGGGCTGGTGGGCGGTGCTTTGGACCCACAATTCGACCCCGATGACTGGCTTGGAGATCGAAACCTCCATCCCTGGTGCTGCGAAGCGCATGGGATGATCGGTCGTAGGCGTCCAGGGGCGCAAGCCTGGGAGACAGGCGGCCATCCCACTGAGCTCAGCAGGGACCACGACGTTCTCAGAGCAGCAAACACACAGGAGGTGGCGAGCAGGGGTGGGCTTCAGCCTTGCAGACAAGGGCTGGGCTGTGGGCCTGGGACTCCTGGGGAGCTGGAAGTCCAAGTCCAGGTGGTTACCCCTCTGCAATAACCGTCTGCAGTACACACGCTCCCCTCCTCAGCAGGGACCTGGACAAGGGGGAGGGGGCTGGCAGCCCCGTCAGCAGCAGGCCCCGTGGGACCCCCGCCCCCTAGATCTCCATGTCCACGGGGCGGATGTTGCCGGTCTTGTTCTCTCTGACCCACAGCTCCCTGTCTTTGGCTGGGTCCACTTTGCGAAGCAGTTGGTCCACAGGCTCGACTGTCTGCAAGAGACACAGAAGTGGGGGAGGGCACTGTCAGACAGACGTCTTCTCTGAGCCAGCTGCCCTGGGCCTTTGTGCTCATCAGAGGAGCCCCTCTAGAAGGCTCTGGGCTGAGGGACACAAAGAGGGAGGGAGGGAGGGAGGGAGGGAAGGAGAGAGAGAGAGACAGAGAGAGAGAGAGAGAAGAGATGGAAGGATTGCCCATTCAGACTCTGCCTCTCTCCGCTGTGCACCATCTGAGACAGGGTCCTGACAACGCCCACCCTCATCCATGGCATGACCTCGCCCGCTTGTCACCAGAGAAGAGTACAGACAGAATTCAGTTTTCGGGCGGTGGGTGGGTGGGTGGGGGAATGAGGAGCTGATACCAAGGGCTCAAGTAGAAAGCAATGTTTTGAGAATGATGATGTCAACAAATGTGCACATGTGCTTGACACAACGGATGCCTGGATGGATTGTGCTAAGAGTTGTATGAGCCCCAAATAGCATGTTTTTAAACGCCCCCCCCCCCAAAACAAAACCCTCAAAGACTCACTGCCATTGAGGAGCCTCTGACCCATAGCAACCCTATACAGGACAGAGTGGGACTGCCCCTTGTAGGTTCACTGAGGCGAATTGTGGGAGTAGAAGCCCTCATCTTTCTCCTGCTGATGTGGAGATCAGCTGATCAACACCACTCTCTTTCCTCCGCGTGGCAGCATCTCTGCGTACTGACCCCCCACGCGTGAACTCCCAGGGAAATCTAGTCAGCGGGTGCCAGCTCCCTGCTCACGGCCCTCCTTCAGGGCAGGTCCCCTGGTGACCGGTCACTGAAATGGCCATGGTGTGGCAGCAGTGGCTCTCCCCAAGGCCCTACTGGCCTCAGCCCGTGGGCAGGAACTCACACTTTGGTTGAACATGTCCGTCTCGTGACGCAGCTGAGTGTACTGACACAGGTGTTGCCGAATCATCTCGACCCTCTCCACCTCCAGCCGCTCCAGCTCCTGCCGAGAAGCCCAGAGACCTCTGAGCACATCCCCTCCACCTGGAGACCCCTCCCAGCCAGCAGGCCCCAACCCTTTCTGCTCCCTCTCCCCACGATACTGGTTGCCTACATCCTGCCAGGCTGTGCCAATGTCTGACATGCCCGGTGCCACTTCACCGGGTCAGGTGAATAATCTAGATCATTGGTTCTGAACCTTCCTAATGCCTTGACCCTTTAATACAGTTCCTCATGTTGTGGTGACCCCCCCCTAACAATAAAATTGTCTTCGTTGCTATTCATAAATGTAATTTTGTTAGTTATGAATCGTAATGTAAATATCTGATATGCAGAACGGATTTCCATTGTGACATATTGAACAAAATTAAAGCATAGTGATTAGTCACAAAACAATATGTCATTACATGTAATATGTATGTATTACACATATTTTCCGATGGTCTTAGGTGACCCCTGTGAAAGGGTCATTTGACTCCCAAAGGGGCTGCGACCCCCAGGTTGAGAACCGCTGATCTAGAAGCATGAGAGGGGCTTGCTCAGTAGCGAGGGCTGAAGGTGATGATGATGGTGATGGTGGCAGCAGCTTCGATGTCCTGGAAACTGAGCCTTCTAAAAGCAAGAGCTTCCTGTACATGGCTCAATTGTTCGCAGAATCATTTTGTGAGCTAAGTACCGCATGGCAGTCTTATTTCCCAAGCAAAGGGACTAGCCCTTCATCTGGAAGCACCCCGTGTCCTAAGCACCCTGGAACGAGCGGAGGATGTGAGCTGTGAGCCTGGGTACAGCCTGATCTTGGCCAGGATATTGTCCTGGGGCAGACCCACCCTAGGGCCCTGACATAGGCGCTTGCATGCCTCCAAATCTGGGGTGTTGGCCTTGGGCCTCTGCTGAGCAGCCTCCTCTGACTGCCTCCACACCAGGGCTCCCCGGGCACATGGGGGAGACGAGAGGGCAGGGAGTGCCGTGCTCAGTGACAAACGCAAGAGTGGAAAGACTTTGGAATTCAGGGGGTCAGGCTGGTCTGCACACAAGTAGGTCACCGCCCAGGTGATTAATTGGGGAGGAAGGTAAAGCAGGGGGCTTAATTAGGAGATTAACCAAGAGGAAAACTAGGTCACTGTCCCTGTAATCTACTCGGGGGGCCAACACCTGGCACAAACAAGCAGGTTCGTTACTGATGGGGCGGGGTGGCTTGGGGTGGGTGGGGGCGTGCAGTGGATAGTGAGTTAAGCGCCAAGCATGAGGTCTCTTTTCCTCAGTGGTCCGACGGCCCTCACACTCACCACAGTTCCTGTCTCACCAACGAGGCCACCAGAAGGAGATGCTCACTCTTCGCAAGAAAGGCCTAGGAAAGTCTGAGCCTGGCCCACACACCTTGAAGGCTCCCCCACTTCCTGATGCCCCTGACACACACACACACACACACACACACACACA